ATGGTATAAAGAAGTGGGATTTAACTTGGCGTCAGTTCTTGATATCAAATCTTTTGTAGGAATGATACATATCATTAAAGTTAATATTATTTATTTAATTTGGTATTCGAATTACATGGAATTTAACTTGGAGCCAATTGTTGATATCAAATCTTTTTTACGAATAATACATAAAATTTTGATAAAAGAGTGACGTTAAATTTAGCCCATTTTTGGGTACTCGAATTTTTAACTGAATCATACGCCAAAGTACTCTATATGAAAGGACATTAATTTCATAAAAGTTTTAACTTGAGCCTAGCCACCAATTCAGAGATACAGGAGGCTGAATGTAACACTTTATATGTGAAGTCTCATCGAATAACATCAATAAAACTTTTGCAAAAAGAGTGAAACACTTCTTAAACGGATAAAATCACAAAGAATTTAGTGCTCGAAGGTTTTCTAAAGACTCTGATTATAAATACCACAGATATTCAAAATTCAAAATGGCGGATCCAATATGGCGGACGACTTTTTTAAAAACCGCTTGGATTTGAATGTAACAATCCACTCGGGAGTTTTTAGGATTGCCGATTACGAATATGAAATCAGAATTTTGAAATTCAAAATGGCGGATCCAATATAGCGGACGACTTTTTTAAAAATCTCTCGGATTCACTTGTAACATGCCGCTTGGGGTTTTTTGAGGTTTCTGATTATTAATATGAGCACGGATTTTAAAAAATCAAAAATAATTAAAATGAACCAAATAAAATAATTTTTCCATAACTGTAATAAACTAAAGCTTCTTACACAGAACAACATCTTACAATAGACTTGCGTTAAAAAACCAGCTACATTTTCTTATTGACTTACTTACTCTTATTTACAATTACGATATGCCTAATGTGTTTGCCTTACAGTGGGCTTCTAGTGTAACGATACTGATATGAATGAATGATGTTACATACGTTGAAATGCTGCTCAAATTGCATAACTGTGAAGCAAATGATCTTACAACCTGATATTTGCTTCAAGTTATTGTCTACTTAAACCGTCCTCTACAATCAGTTTATGGCACTATCTTCATGATACTTTTAAAGTGAGCTACTTCCATTCTGAAACATCATCAGTAAAGGACAGTGTTACTTTATCTTATTGTCTCATAGCATTTTAATCCACTATTTATATAAGTTTAGGTCTATTTGAAGCGTACTTATATGATGTCGTTGATGTTCAATTGTTATTCATTTTGAATTTTGAATATCTCGGGTATTTATAAAAAAGGTAAAAAAAGGCGCCAAGTGTTCATGTACCTTCCATAAAAAAAAATGAAATCAAATCTTTAAATTACGCCAATTGGAAAAAGAATATATAATTTCTTGCAACATATAACACATACTATTGTATTTTGTAAATTGCGAAAAGAACATATATTTTATTGCAACATATAACATTTAATTAACGAGACAAAATGATACGTAGCTTATCTTTCTATTCAAGAGTCTTTTATATTTGCAATGGAATACAACATTTAATCTCAAAAAATTAAAGACGAAGCATCACAAAATGAGAAAATTTTATG